GGTACATAAACTTTTGGGATTGACTGTATAGCCAATACATCCTTAAGTAATCTATTAAATATTTTGACTGATTGTTTGCTACGATTAATACATGGAATAATTCGCCAATCTAATTCTATATCGATCTATGTTCCTAAATTGAAAGATTAAAAGAATAATGTTAGTCTGCGAATTTCATTAAGTATATTGCTTTTAATTATCAGCAAGGAAGTACCTTACTCTCGTACCTGAAGGAGATAGGTAACCATCAGCCCTAATTACTTTTCCGGAGGGATTTATTACTCTTCTACAAAAACTTTTTATGCTCAAGTACTTTTTCTCCGATTCAATGAAACTTCTGCGATGTTTCCTTGTCTCATACTTACGATAATCGAAAAGTTTCAGATGTAAAGCTTGATTGATACGTCAGCTAAAAGGGAACAGAAAATAAGTTGCCTTGTAAAATAGAAAAAAGACTGAAAGTACTGCAGTCCTGTTACAAAATCTATCACATCTCTTAAGGTGTAAAATTCTAGAAATACGAAGAAGTAACTATAATCTCTGTAAAATCATTGCAGTGGATATGGAAACAAATAGTTTCTAGCACATTGTTAATCCTAATCCAAGGAAATCGTTATTTAAGTTAATACAGTTGCTGGCTCGGATGTGACTGGGAATTAGGGTCAGGGTGAAGTTCAGCAATGAGAATAAAGAGGATCTGCAGGTGGAAGCGGTTGGAGTAGCATTTAAACAAGCGTGCGACTGGTTTTTTAAGATATCTCGCTGCTTTTAGACAGATAGTGCACCCAGGACGTACATACGTGCATACCGAAAAAATAAAATTGAAACACACATCGTTCCGCACGAACGCGTCATTGGAATTGATCGCTCCACGCGGGGGGTTGAGGTCTTCACATCGTAACTTTTGACCGACCATTCCGCATCCTGAGTGGACCCACCTGCAGCTAAGGGGGAACGTTGGGCACATGATAAATTCGAAACGTTCAACCGGATTATTACCTAATCCTTTTATTGGTCCCAATCCTTCTTCGATCGACCTGGGTCAACCGAAGTTGCAGCATGTTTTCTGACTAAAAATGTACAAACTCGATTCAATGTATTTTCGTGACATGCTCGAAGAGGAAAATAAATACAGGAGGGTGTATCATTTATAAATACATTCAAACAAATTGACGTACATCGTTTATTTGTTCCTAGAAGTTAATCTATTGATCGGAAGCTTGTATTTGATAGTACGCCTCTTGAATTCAGATAGATAAGGAAGTTAAACAACGTCTATCGATACATGTTCTTGCGACTGTCTAAACATCTTCTTGACAATTAACAATTATCAGGCAAGCCTTCTCTTGAGAATAAGTAGAAGCCATAAATCAACGTACGCCTGGTAAAAACATAGGGTTGTTCAAGTACACTAGACTTTGAAGGTAACCCAAAGTATTCTCGTGACACTCGACCCAATTTCCTTCGTCGTCGTGTAATTACTAAGCGAGTTAGCGTGCATTCGTGCATTTCAGAGACAAACGAGTTTGCCCCGTTTCGAAATAAGCTTCTGCCGTCCCGAAACAACGTTCAGTTTTACGTACGAACATGTACCGGCAATAAATGTTAAGCGATTCCTTTTAAATATTGAGAAATCTAAAGAGGGGCAGGCTACCGATTGTTCTGTATACGATGAGGAGTACTCCGTTATAAAAGTATTTTAAAAGCGAAGGAGAGGTTTGATCCGATGTACGATATCGATCGCGATGCACGCAGAGCATGAAATTAGAAATTTGTTCGATCGAGCGGTCGTCTTATCACTGATCTGTATCGTCACGGGCAGTTGAATCTTTGGTGCATGCCGATTCCACCAATATCTCGTTAAATCCGATAAAATCAATCTGGTCGTGTTCTTTGACCGTGAAAAAACGTGGAACGCCGCGGCGGCGATGAGAGGAAAACGGTTTAGAAAATCGAAGGAAAAGAAAGTGCGCGGTTGTACAAAGATGTATTGACGTTGCCCGTACTCTCCCCGTCTTGTCGTCGCGGTATAAAATGCAAGTTGAGAAAGGAACGCTGGGTGACCGATACCCAGTTAAAAACCGGACTTGGTCTCTTTACGCGGTGTCAAAGAAACGGAGCAGTTGGCCGTAGAACGGTGCAGGTGGGTTGCCAGATGGCCGGGGCGGGAAGAGTGAATGAAGCAACGAAAAGAAACGTCTCGATCCAGACGACACTACGACACGTTGTTCACTCTTCGTGCCACGAGATAAATGCAATTGTGCAAACTGAAAACCAATTTCGACTTCCGGCAATTCTAAAACCGTTTCGTTTACTCCGACCTTATTCGTCGCTTGGTTTCAGATGTGATTTTCCAATTTCTAAGCCTAGTGATAAAATAGAGTTTTAAAAGAATTCTATCGATAATCGAATTGCAGATCAGATTTACATTAAACTTGGTATGCTGTCGAGTACAGCTCTCGAAAAGATGTGATTAAA